TTTTTATGGTTTTATGTATTTTCAGAAATTATAATAAAAGTCTGTTTTAAAAATTATTAAWTTTTTTCTAAAAACCCTTAATGTATCTTATACTTTATATTTCAATAAAAAAAAAAATTGTGGTATAATACATTCATCATTCATCAGGGTGTACATCTTTTTAACAAGATGAGGTCAGCGAGGTTCATTACATCAGCTGTGAGCCTAATAATATACCTAGGTTTGGKAGTCACTCACTATTATTTAGGTAAAGGGATGCAGAAGTTGTGCCAAGTTGAGCGTACYGCGGCAGACGAATGTAGTTGTTTGTCCTTTGGACATGAACTCTCTATGAGCAAATTAATAAACAGCATAAAACGGTACAATAATCACGGTAACCAATTGAAATGCAATTTAAAAACATATCACGTACTTGAGAGGCAGAAACACGAATACCCGGATCACGGTCACAACATGTACCTATTTTGCATAACTATATCGCCGTGTTACTATTAAAACCCCCAAAAATTATGGAATAAAATACATACACCATAGATTATACTCGATTCCGAGGCAAAAAAAAATATGTAATTGCAGTGATACCAACACTTCGGTGTTTAAAAAAAAACGAAAAGTCGAGTCTAATTAATTATTGTAGAGTATCGAAAAACATTATAATAAATATTACGGTCTTTTTTAAATGTATTAATAACATTATGTACCTGAGGCTTGGTATGTCAGTTACCACACGATCGTTGTGAAGTAGCCAGGTAACATTTGGCTGTGGATTTCCTTGTCCCTGGCAGCTAATCAACGTACCAGTTGTGTTGGAAAAGTATATTAGGCTCGGTGGTTCTACTATAAAGTTGGGTGGTTCCATAGGACTGGTTTGCCATATTCCAAATACGATATCTGAAACAAAGCATATTTTGTACGATTTAATATAGTTTTAARTACGAAAGAATTTTATCATATTTTTTAACAGAAACCAAACGTATATCAAGTAAAATGTAATAGATTAACTGAATCATTTAAAAACTTAGGAAAATATTAGAAAACTGGCAT